TACTGTTAATCAGAGTAAATTTTTAATGTCAAATAAAATAAAATTTTATTGTTGATGTCATTTTCGATAGTAAAATTTTATTGTTGATATGAGGGCCAATATGAATCTTGTTTAATAGTCTTGATGAAATGATTATAAAAATAATAATTTTATTAAAAATTGACATTTGGATAAAAAATTATATTATTTTAAATTTTAAAATATAAAATTAGTTAGTAAAGATAATTTGGTAATAATACTGTGTATTGGCATTTTTATTTGTTTGTCCTTAATGCGTGAAAATATTGTTACGAGGGAGTATTGACTAAATTTTTCTTTCAAAGAACATATTATTTGTAACTATAATTTCAAATATGAAAGGAATTCATTAATGTATAAATAGCATTTTGTACCCACCCAAAAAATGAATAGCATTTTGGGTCAATTTGGGAACTTGGCTAAAAACTAAATTTTAGCTTTTAACCTATTTTAGTCACATCACCTCTCTACATTTTTATATATTTTTTCAAAAAAAATTAAAAAGTCAACCTTTAATCAACTTCCCAAAACAACCCTTTGTTATTGTCTTTTAAATCTTCTCATATTTGGAATTACAGTTACAAAGAATTAATTCTTGGGTTCCTATAGTCAAATAAACAAATAATTAGAATTAATTGAAATTGATTATAGCAATGTCTATATATCTTATAAAATTAAAGGAAAATGATATATAAACAAATCCATTTTCTAAACCCATTTTCTAGATCTAATAATGTGTCAATAAAATGGTTAATTGACGATTAAAAAATAAATGAGAGAAATATTTGATTTAAATATTTTAATTGAGTGACACATCATTAAATTTAAAAAATAGATATAATTTTGTAGTCTCAATAGCAATACTTAAATTGCAATGACCACACAAAGGCATATACCAAATTAGGATTTGTAACTTGGGTTTGGTTATGGTGTGCAACTTACACCTTACACCTTATACCTTACACTTACACCTTACACCTTATACCTTACACTTACACCTTACACTTACACCTTTTGTAAAAAATTAAACCTTACACTTACACCTTTTTTGAGGTTGCACACCATGTGCAACCCACTTACACCTTACACCTTACATTTACACCTTATACTTATACTTACATCTTACACTTACACTTTTTGTGTAAATGGCACATGGTGTGCACTTGCACACTTAAGAAAACTCCTTGTAACTTTTGCCTATAAAAAACCTTATGTCTCAATTAAAAATATCATTAAAAATTCAATTGATGGCAACTACTAACTTAACTCGATTTGTTTTCTTCTACTTCGTCTTCCTCAATCTCTTGGTTGGTCATGAATGTGAGTAGGCATGAATTTGTTATTTCAATGACACCGTCAAAATCAGAAAATATTGTCAACCAAATTTACTGTAATCCATGAATATTCATTTATTTATTTTTGTTTTCTTATTTATTGTTATCTATGTACACAAGATAGTCATATTATTTTATTTTTATTTTTTTTGTGGTTTGTGTTGGTACACATACAGGCGGTGAAGATGGCAATATGAAAAGTCCAGATGCAAACATGGAGGGTGATAGAACTCCTCAAAAACAGGGAGCTTATGATCGTGTAGTCAACAATTCAAAATTAATTTTATGCATCCCGGGCCTGAGCCGTTGTCCTGACACTGCACCTTCTTGTTGGTGTTGTGTTACCCAGAAAAGTTCAATCGATTGTAATTATGGTGACAAAGAAGTTTGTGACGCCCTGTGTGGTAAACTGTCTCTGTGATTGTTGCGACATGAAATGCATATATATATATATATATATTCAATAATATTTTATAAAGAATAATTGAAAAGATAAGAATTTGTCCAATTATAATATGTAGATTTTGTTGCTAAGAAAACAACCAACATTAAAAATACCAAAACCAATAATTGTTTTGGAGATTGGTCCTTTGGGAAGAAGTTAAAAAAAGTTAACTTTTTGACTTTTTAACGTTTTGTGTGTGTCAATTTTCAATCAAGCATTCAACTGGAGAACACTGGCAGAATAAATTAAGTCCGAACAACCTGCCATAGATTAAGCCCGAACAACCGAAAGATAAGAATCCCGCGGTGGTCACAAAAAGATAAGAATCCTGCGACAAAAAGATAAGAATCCCGCGGTGGTTCGTCCACCCGGGCACACTGGCAGAATAGATTAAGTCCGAACAACCTGTCATAGATTAAGCCCGAACAACCTGTCACAGAAAGATAAGAATCCCGCGGTGGTCACAAAAAGATAAGAATCCTGCGACAAAAAGATAAGAATCCCGCGGTGGTTCGTCCACCCGGGACACTCCGACGATCAAGTTAGTAAAATATCTCTTAAAGATAATCTTAACTCACTAGACAGAGCATAAAAAGACATACCTTAGACCCATGAGAATGCCTCTCTTTTATAGCCAACACAAACCTAGTCCCAATAGAAGCCTAACTTCAATGGACTTAGGATTACTGCTAATCTTGGACTCGCAGTAGGATTGAGATAAATTCTCTAAGAGTCTTATCTTATCTCGCAGTAGGATTGAGATAAATTCTCTAAGAGTCTTATCTTATCCAAACTGAAGTCCTCTCTCATTCTAGGACTCTTGTCTCTTATCCGCTTATTCCGAATTTCGGTATCTTCGCAGATAACATCAGCCTAGCCGAGACGATCTCGGTGTCATGACCAGGACACATGACACCTAGGCTGGCACTTCGGTGACACCTCGGCCACGTCTTGTAATTAAAAAATTATGTCCCCACACTTTTTTACGAAAAAACCAAAAAAAACCAGTTTTTTTAGCCAAACACCACTAGATTTCATTAGACGGACCACGTAGTTTTGGACGAGGAGGTCGCAAGACATTCATTATGTCAAATTAATAATTTTTTCTCATATTCTTATGATCTAAATAGAAAAATGATATATAAATAAAGAATTTAAATGTGAGCCTCATTTCATAGAGATGTTGTTTTAATAATATGGTCTCATGCCATCTGTGTTTTGGTTTGAAAGTCAATAACTACTTTAGAAAGTAAATTGTCAAAATTAAAATGACGAAAGAACAAATTAAAAACTTGAATAAAATTAGTGAATAGAGAGTGAAATTTATGCTATTAAAAAAATAAAATACTAGAGATTTTAAAAAATTTATTAAATTTTTCATATGGGTGCGGAACCTATATGGGACTTACATTGTGTAGGTCCCACCTCATATAAAACATTTGGTAACAATTTAGAAAGTAAATTGTCAAAATTAAAATGACGAAAGAACAAATTAAAAACTTGAATAAAATTAGTGAATAGAGAGTGAAATTTATGCTATTAAAAAAATAAAATACTAGAGATTTTAAAAAATTTATTAAATTTTTCATATGGGTGTGGAACCTATATAAGACTTACATTGTGTAGGTTCCACCTCATATAAAACATTTGGTAACAATTTTAACAGAATTTGAAATCTCTAATATTTCTCTTAAAAAAATTGATTACAGTGAGGATTTTGTTTTTGGGTAAAGAGACAAAATAAATTTGAAGACCAATGATCCAAATCCTCTTCTTTTTTTTTTAGGTACAACGGAAATAAATCCAAATCCTCTTCCAAGAAGTCTTTGAAAACAGTTAAATGCAATTTTTCGTTTACTATGTTGACTTCTAATAATAATAATAATAATAAAATTTAAATCTCTACTATATGAATTATTCATAAAAAAATCTCTACTACCTTGATTAAAATATTTTTTAACAAATTAAATTTCTTAAAACTAGTCTCTACTATATGAATTATTCATAAAAATAAAAATTAAAAAATTTGACTAGATTATATTTTTCCTATTTAAAAAAATTAAATCTTATATTTATTTATTTACTAGATTGACTTATAATAATAAAAAAAATTAAAAAAATCAAACCGTCTCAAATGTAAAGTAACGAACCTTTTTATTTATTTATTTATTTTTTTAGATTGGCAAAAATAAATAAAGTTGAGTGATTACTCCAATACTTAGATATAAGGGTGGGCATCAATTCTTTAATCCTAAGCCTATAAACAAATTGAGTTGAACTGATATCTAATTGTTTGAGTTTAATTTAATAAACTTAATAAATTTTAAAAATTTATTTACACAACGAATTAATAGAGTCTCAAATATTTATTTTATTTATTTACTATAGTGATATAAAACATAAAATTTCTAAAAAGTCTTAATGCGTAATTACTTGCTGAATTATTTAGCCCAAATAAAGAATTTATAGAGAAACATTTTTAATTATACAAATGGCACATTATCTCATTATTTTGTTACAAAATTGTATAAAAAATTCTGAAATATCATTTTGCTCTATTTATTTATTTATGTAGGTAAATACATTTTAGAAAGACGAATGCGACAAAATAGGCAACTGTACCTCCAGCCCCCAATCTAATAAAATTATTAATCCGATGTTTGGTTAAACAATTGAAGTACGGACTAATTATTTTAAACTTGACTATTAGTTAAGATAGGATACATAATCCAACGGATTTGTAGTCCTAGGACTATTAGTCATGGGAATACTAATCCAGTCCGCCCAAACAAACATGGCCTAATAGTCTCAAATATTTATTTTATTTATTTACTATAGTGATATAAAACATAAAATTTCTAAAAAGTCTTAATACGTAATTACTTGCTGAATTATTTAGCCCAAATGAAGAATTTATGGAGAAACATTTTTAATTATACAAATGGCACATTATCTCGGAAAATGTTTGGTTGCTCAAAATTTTGTGGCTCAAATGGCTCAAATCTGTCAAAACGACGTCGTTTTACATTCATTTACACTCAAAACGACGTCGTTTTGAGTGATTTGAGCCATTTGAGCCACAAAATTTTGAGCTACCTATCATTGTTGCATTATCTCATTATTTTGTTACAAAATTGTATAAAAAATTCTGAAATTTCTTTTTGCTCTATTTATTTATTTATGTAAGTAAATACATTTTAGAAAGACGAATGCGACAAAATAGGCGACTGTACCTCCAGCCCTGCCCTCGCCGATCACTCAGTTTCTTCTTCACGCCTCCACCGGACCACCATGGTTCTCTCTCTCTCTCTCTCTCTCTCTCTCTCTGTGATATCCAAAAACAATTGAAACAATGGTTTATGTTTTTTCTAGCTCTTCAGAAGATGGTGTACTGATAGTAGATGAACTTGATTGAGTCTGTTATTGTGTGTGTGTGTTTATGTTTTTTTTTTTTTAAATTTTTTTTATAGTTACCTAATTAATTTATTTCATTGTTTTTATTTGTTCTCAATAGGGTTTATTTTCAGATCGCCACTGCCTTTGCTGAAGGAATATTCAGGTAAGTATAGCGAAAATAAGCTTTAACACATCAGAGATGACATTCCTAACTTACAGATTTCAATTTCTTAAATGTTTAAAATGCTCTCTCTCTCTCTCTCTGTGTTTCTACCTAAGTTTGAATTGATGATGTATATGTGTGTGTATATTGCTAAATTTCTGTTTTGTGCTTCATTTTTTAAGTTATGATTCTATAGGGTTGAGATGGATCAGTAATGGTGAGAATAAAAAATTATTATAAGTTTGAAGCATTAATGTATGTATGTATATACCTATATAATATACAACATACATGATGGTGGGTGTATGAAAAGCAGCTACTTGTATTGTAGCAGCTATGGAGGGAAAACTGATAAATGCAGCTAAGATTTTTTTGTCATCAGTTACAAAAACCATGCATTGTGACTGTAAGAATGAGTGGCTTGGTGATTTCATGATAGGGTGATGTTTGATGAGCTAAATTCGTTGTATCATATACAAGGTAAGTCAAGAAAGCCCAAAATTTTCTAGTTGCATTCAAATCCTACATGATGATTAGAAATATATGGCCCTGGATAGAATAGACGAGTTTGATTTAAGAGAGATGCTGTCTCTTCCCTTTCCCTCCCCCATCCCATACTTTGTATATGAATTTAGTTACATGCATAGCTTATTAGCCACATTCCCAATAATTTAGCTATGTGACATGCTCTTTAAAAAACCCCCATAAAATCCCTTGCCTCCCAATTTTTGGTTGTGATGTTATTCAATAAACTAACTAGTTTACTAATTAGTTTACAAACTCCTTATGTGGCTCTGCCACCTCAACACTTATGGCCCCACGCATTTATTTTACCTCTTTCCCTCTCCTCCAATAAACTCTTCTCAAGTTCCCCTCATGTCTTTTGCTTTCCCTCTCTCATGCAAAAGTCACAAAACAAAACCCCACTCTCAAAACCACAACAAAACCATATCTTTCTCTCTTGCTGCACTTCTAAACCCTCCAATTATTTGTGGTGTCCTCCAACGTCCCAAAACCCTGATTTGTCATTAAAAACTCACTTCTTCCGTGTTGCTTTCTTCTTTTTGTTTTGTAGGACATCTATATGGCCTTACTATTATTAAACTTCAAAGTCAAGGCCAGAGGCCATGAAACACGGAGCAACATTTTTTCCCCCAAACAAGAGACTTTCATATCAAGAGTTCTAATTTTGTTATGCTTTGAGAGTTGGGTTCTGTTTTGTGTGAGAGAGGAAACCAAAAGATGTGAGGGGGATGGGTTTTGTAAATGAAAGAGAGGGGGCTCAAATGGGTGAGGCCCAAAGAGTTGAGGTGGCAGTGGGACACAAGCGGTTAGTAAACTAGTTGCTGTTCATAGCTTTATTGGATGTTATTTCTACATTTTTTACTATGTCAATGGTCAGTATATAGTACTACAATGCAGGTCTAATGGGAATTCTGTCAATGACAATAATGAGTTTGTTTTTAAATTATTGGCCAAGCACCCAAGCTTGTTATTGGCTTATTTAGTTCACTTGTGCGAAACTCTTATATTTATTATTAAACATTGGTCTCTCTCTCTCTCTCTTTCTCTCTCTCTCAGCTTGAATGCATATTAACTCTACTTGTACTATCTAATGCATCTTAGTAACCTTTTATTGTATTTAAATTTTCATATTCTGCCTTCATATTTAAAATCTCTTAAATCTCTATGTCTGCTATGAGTGTTTGCAATTATAATGGAGCATCCATTGCAATGCTAGTGGAGCTTCCATGATCCATTGATGCATTAGATTTCTTAGGTTGATTCCATCTAACAACTGATTGAGGTTTCAATTGAAATGAAGATCCTTGGTTAAGTTCTAGTGCTCTTATATGTGTTTGTGTTATATATATGAACTTCAAAAGCATGAAATTTACCTCTCTTTGAGCTGCTTTTTCTTAATTGCTGGGAAAATTCATGTGAAGTTTGTAATCATTTGGACACCCATTTCAAAATTTATTGGATGGGGTTTGAAGAACATGAGCATTCAACTTTACCAATGTTTATCCTTTTGTGGACTGGGCATAGTTTTGGACATGAGATATATGAACTGCATTATCTACTGTTATGATCAAAGTACTCACGGATTGTATCTTCTGGATTGAATTTGACACTTCCTCTGGTTACTAGTTGCTTTGACATGAAGAGTACTTAATAACTACATATGTTGTCTCTAGTAGTTGGGCTACATTATTCTATACTAAAACTGGTATGACCTGCAAAGTCATGTTGGATACCAGTGAGTTCAATGTGTTTTCTTGGTGAGGCCAATCTAACATTGTATATCATTATAGTTGTTGGCATGCTGTCTAGTTTTATTTTATGTGCTAACCTAATTACATCTATGTTATCTTCTATTGTATCATTTGCAAAACTCGAGGAATTGGTGTTCTTTTTTGTCTTTTTGGTTATCATGCTCATTTCTCAAAGTAGAAAATTATACTCCTTAATGACTAGTCTGTTATTTTGTGCAATGCTTTGATTATATTTGTATGCTTGTTTCTGATACTTTAATTGTTGGGATTGTTCATTGCTGACACTTTTTCATTAAATTGATGACTTGTAACAGGACATCTATGGCGTCCAATGATGTTCGGATGAAGAATGCTTCTGGAAAGGCTCCCGACGTTGGTGCGATCTTCATGTCAAACAGAACTACAATAGAAGAGTGTTTTAAGAGAAAACTATTTGGTCTTCCACATTCTTTTGTTGACTTTGTGAAAGAAGTCAAAGCTGGAATGGTTTTATTTCTTTTCGAATTTGAGCAAAGAAAACTATATGGTGTATTTCAGGCTGTAACAGATGGTTCAATGAATATTGTACCCAATGCATATCGTTCAACAGGAAAATCATTCCCTGCACAGGTATCAATTGATGATTGTATGATTTTTTGTTGTTTTCTTCCTAGCTTCATTCTTTCATAGCTTTCACTAGCCTCAAATTTATTGTTGCCTAATTATATTTTTTTTCCCTTGAGCATATGTGAATCACCAGATATTGTTTCTTTGAAATGTAAGCTCTTTCCTTTTTAGACCAATTTTATGTCTATCGTTCAATTTTGTCTTGTTCAGATTCGATTTAGTGTGATTTGGAATTGTCGTCCTCTTTATGAACATGATTTCTGTGATGCTATTCAAGATAATTACTATGCAGCTACGAAGTTCAACTTCGGTCTGTCTAAAGATCAGGTTTGCTCTTATTCACATTTCTTGTAGAATCTAGGCTCATTGTTTGGCAAAGGATTCATATTCTGTCCAATATGCAGTTTAAGTTCATCTCAGCTCAATCATAGAATGCCATAGCAGGGTACTAACAAGCCCTCTTATTCCTTAGAGAAGTAAAGCAAACAAACATACTTCTTAATGGGATAGTTGGTGTGGCCTAATGAAGCTTGTTGTGGGAAGCTGTGATTGACTGATTGTGAAAGGAAATGAACTAAATATGTTCGAGTTGGAATTGAACCTTGCAACAAGCCCTAAACTGGACCTGTTTCCAACACTCACTTTATATTGATTGAGCATGCAGGTTCAAAGGCTCTTATACTTGTTTGATTCTAGAAAGGTCAGAGTACAAAGATCTCTCAAAAAGAAGAAAGTCAAATCATTGGATATAGTAAATCCCTTGGCTGATTCTGGCAAACTTGAGCTGAAGAGAGACGACTCCATGGCTGAAAGTCAAGCTAGGAATTCAGTGGATGTACCCCAGTCACTGAATGCAGGGATATCTTTTTTCCAGGCTCCATTCGTGTCTGGAACAAGCAACGAGTTTACCTCATTTCATGAATATGCTACTCACTCTACCGGTATTTCAGTAAGCTCATCTTTTTCTTTAAGTCAATCGGTCCCATTGCAAAAAGAGTCAGAGCACATAGACACCTCTTCTTATAATGCTTCATTGGGCCTCGGCGATTACATACCACTGTCTTTCCCTGAACATCTTGATGCAACAGAGAATGAGAATGCTTTCTCAGAGGCTGGGGTTTTGAAAGATAACCAAATAGAATCTGCCTCTTGTGATGATTATATAGATCTGTCCTCCTCTGAAGCATGTATATTTCCCATGCCTTTTGGACTGATGGATTCAAATCAGCCATCTTCTGTATTCAGTCCAGAGAGGGATCAATGTGATGAAAAATACCCGAGGGTGAAGGGCCTGTATTCTGATACTCAAGACAAAAGAACAAGTGTGTTTTCTCGTTTGAATTTGGTGTCAAAAGCTGCTGTAGAAGATGATGAAGACGACTCTCAAGTGACTGAATCAGTGCATGAAATTATGGAGAAGTTGCAGTGGTCTCATGAAAATTGGAAAAGGACGACAAGGAAAACTAAAAGTATTTCACGTGAAAAAGGAGATAGCCATCTGAAAAAGAGAGCTAGTGTGTTTTCTCGCTTAAATTTTGCTTCTGACAATGCTGTGGAAGAAAAGAAATTTGATATCCAGGTAGATAATTTAGTGGGCAGAAATGCAGAAATATTTCTGGGGAATAAGAGAGAGACACGCAAAGCAGCTATCAGAAATCATGATAGTGAGAACTTACAGATGACTATCCAGGTGCAGATGAATGAAGATACATCTCAAGTTGAAGAGGATCTGGTGGATAAATGGACTGGGAAACAAATTGGAGAATGCATTCCACTTCTGAATGTTAATGACGAGGGCAAAATGGTGAAGATAGAGTGTGAAACTAAGGGAAGAGATCATGTAGATGGTGAAGAACAACAGAAGAGAAGATTAGTTAGGCCAATGCTAACAAACAAGTCAGATGCCAAAACCGAGGATAATCAAACCAGGTTATCTCAAAATGACATAAAACCAGCTCTGATATACCCAACCATTAGTGATGGCAATAGTGAAGAGCAGTTGAAAGGCTCGACCAAAATGGATTCAATGTTGATAAAACAAGATGGTCCGGGAAAGAACTGTTTTGGAGAGGTGGGCACAAAGCCATTGAATGTATGCCAGCTTGGTTGTTTGTCTGCATCAGCTGCTATCAAAGATGTGGACAAAGAAGTACTCATTGTAGATGAAGGACAAGCGGAATGTACAAAGACATTTTTTGGCACTGGGCGTGAAGAATGTGGTGAGCAAGATGCTGGACTTATATGTGAAACTGGTGGTGTTCGGTACCTTTAGAACTTGTTAATAGCGTATGACTCAAAATCTTTTTGTGTTAACCGTACATAATGAGGGAACTTGGAGGAATATTTGAAAGAAACCGGTGAATGAAGGAATCATTTAAAATTGTGAATGAAAGTAGTCTTGAGAGCACAAATGTTTGTTTCTGTTCCAAGAAGAATTAAGTGAGTAGAATTACTATGTAGATAGTTAGAAGGAGCGGAGTATAGAATCCTAACCATTTGAGCATCTCAAATATTGTAACTATGTTTTTGTGCACTGGCAATTACACAAACTATTATTGCAAGCACATTGGTCCACAATCCTTCTCTTCTCATTACATTATTGTTACAGTTGTGTTAGGTTTCTATAATTTGTTGATTTATTCTTACTGTTATTGTTAAGCTAAATCTTCAGTTATGTATCGAGTAATGCTTTTCTTTCCGGACTCTATGTAAATCAAATGGAGTTTTACAAACTTTCTAAAATAAATGTAATATTGTTTTTTAAACTTAACCCATCTTGCCTAAGTTAATACTCGCCATTATACTTCAATTAAGAGAGTGGGGGAATTAATAGACTAAAACCTAGTATTAAAGATTATTATTGTACTTTATTGCGTATTATTTCAAGTTTAGTGGGTCAATATGTATTAACTGGTTATATTGAAATTTCATAGTTATTTATCTAAGAAAAAAAGTCTCTGGGAAAGACTATGATACATACATTTCAAAAAATATATACCGTATACAACTTGTTACTCAAAAAGCAACCTAAGAGCATCTCCAGCGGTGTATTATTTTTTTCACCAAATCTGAGTAAAAAATAGTTGATTTTCTCAATCTGATGTGGCTTGCTCCAATGGTGCATCAAAAGGGAAGGGTCATCCGCGGGTCGACCGGTAAGGAACTTTTTTTTTTTTTTTTTTAAACCTGTTTGAACCTTTTTACCCTGTTTAAACCTACTTATTTGAAAGGGAACTGGTCGACCGGTGGGTCAACCGGCCGGACACCCGGCTGGTTGACCGGTTGCCCCCGTCCAACGGTACAGAACAGTGAAAAGATGAAATCTAGAGCTTGTCCTCAATTTGATGAAACTTTTGTTCCATTCTCTTTTTGATATCAATTTGGTGAAACCATTGGAGTGAGAAAAAGTGATTTTTTCATCAAATTTCAACTCTAATGCAAGGTTTGATGCACCGTTGGAGATGGCCTACGAGGTGGTGAATTAGGTTTCTACAAAATAAAATTAATAATACCACAATAAAATTAACTACTAGTACAACAAATTATTAACAAGTACAATGATGAACTTAACAGTAAATGATCAAGCAAAATAAAAATGAAGTATAACTAACAATGAAGTATAACTAACATACAAGGTAAATCAAATGATTAACACATGAATATTAGATAGTTATAGCAGTAGTATGAAAGTAAAGAGATTAGGGAAGATAAGACAAATAGATTTATAGTAGTTCGGCTTCAACCAAGCCTACATCCATTCCTCAAGCTTCACTTGAGATTTTCCACTATCTTCTAACTTTATAGGGGTGCTAGCAACCTCTTTACAAAATGGCCTACGAGGTGGTGAATTAGGTTTCTACAAAATAAAATTAATAATACCACAATAAAATTAACTACTAGTACAACAAATTATTAACAAGTACAATGATGAACTTAACAGTAAATGATCAAGCAAAATAAAAATGAAGTATAACTAACAATGAAGTATAACTAACATACAAGGTAAATCAAATGATTAACACATGAATATTAGATAGTTATAGCAGTAGTATGAAAGTAAAGAGATTAGGGAAGATAAGACAAATAGATTTATAGTAGTTCGGCTTCAACCAAGCCTACATCCATTCCTCAAGCTTCACTTGAGATTTTTCACTATCTTCTAACTTTATAGGGGTGCTAGCAACCTCTTTATAAATGAAGCAATCCTCCACGGATTTTACACAGACTTCACAATCCCAAACCCTTGCAAATCTTAGGTAATTCACAATCACTCTCAAGATTTCAAGAACACAGTGTTTGCAACACTTTTACAAGAGGAAATTGTATTTTTACTTTCAAAGAAAGCTTACAATAAATATCTCTCAAAGATAGATATATAAAATAAAATTTTGATTTTTCTGTAAATCTCACACAGGAAAGATAGGCTTAAAGCTATAAGGCTCAATGTATAATTTCTGAGAAAAGATGTGAGTGATTATAGATCAAAGAATATTTTCAAATTTTTTTGTAACTTGTTTACATTAGAGGATTTGGTATATATAATGAAACTTATAGCTGTTTATAGCCGTTGTATTCATTTGAATTTATAGCCGTTTATAGCTGTTGTATTCATTTGAATTTATAGCCGTTGTAGTCATTTGAATTTATAACTATTTATAGTCGTTGTACTTCCATCATTACCATTTTGAATATCTTCCACTCCATCATTACAAATTTGAACCTTTTGACTTTTTGAACCTTTTGGCTTTTTGAACCCTTATAGCCGTTTATAGTTGTTGTACTTCCATCATTACTAATTTGAATATCTTCTACTTGAACCTTTTGAACTTTTTGGCCTGCTGTTGTGCTGGGCTGTTTGAACCTTTGTTTTGGGCTGTTTGAACTCCTGATTTAATCAAATATTAAATACATTCTAACAACATTTAAGATAAAGGTTTAGGTGAGAAATAATAGGACAAAATAAATTTTGATTCTATTTTTTCTTTTTCAAATAAATCATCAAAATAATTTTGGATTTTATTTTTCTCTTTCAAATAAATTAAAACATAATTAAATAAATCATCAAAATAAATAAGTCTAACACAACTTATAACTAAGAAAGAAAATAGCATAATCTTATACTTTTTGAGTCATAATTAAAAAAAAAATAATAAAAAAGATCATAACCAAACAATACATAAGGCATAACTAAGAATTTCACGAGCCATAACTAAAATAAGGTCATAACTAAAGAAGAAAATTGATTATAAAAATAAAAAAAAAAGTATAACTTAAGGATGCATAACATAGGGGGCGTGCATAGTAGAATTTCACTCCAATCTTACACAAAAATAACTCAAAACATACACTAATTTATATAATTGTGACTTTTGAAATTAAAAACTATTTTGATGGATAATTTTTTTAAAAAATAAATTGTTCCAATTCAACTAGTAGGTCACTGTAAAATTTTAACAAGTGATAAAATAAAAAAATAAGAGTAATATTAAAAATTCTAACAAATTTTATTAAAATTTTTGTTAAAAAAATGTTTGAAAACTTTAGAAGTGAACCCACCACATGATTTGATGTTTATTAGACCTCTGTTTTTTTGTTTTTTTATTTTACCACAGAGTTCGCTTCAGCTCCAACTAGAGCTACCTATCACTATTGTTCCTTCCTATTATATTATCAACACATAAAATGAACTGAGAGGGGAGTCTTCTCACTGGACTGGATTGAGTGGGCCGTCGCGAAGGAATTGGCTGTGGCTTTCTGGGTTCGTCAGTTCTCTCTTCTGAAGATTGTAGTTTTGTGTATTTCAATTTTCAAGTTTGTTTTTTCATCTCTGCGTTTTGATTTGAGATTGAGATTGAGATCATCCTTTCAATGTGCTATGCATAGATCATTGAGAAAGAGAGTGTAATTTTGTAACAAATGATATGAATGATTTAATCTGTTGTTGCTTATTGTTTGTGTCATCACTCACTATTCACCTTAACCTAGAATGACCACTTTCTTCCATTTTATAGTGATGATGTTCTTATTTATTTGTTGACTCAGTGCCAGTGATTCAACAATTTCATCTTAGCCTAATATGAAAGCTAGATTCAATGCTGCTGTTATCCAATTTCGTTTCCTATTCCGCATCCCTGAAATCTTCGTCCCCTTAGCCTTTGATTCTCCCTCTCCAAAACCCCCAATTTTGAAGCTTTGCCGGTACTGGACCACCTTTGCCACCACCACTGCACCATCCCCATTAGGCGAAACCCTAGATGGAAAAGTAGCAATACAAGAGGTTGGAGGTTTCCCAAAGGACTCCACAGATGTTTTTCGGAGGTGGGGCTGCAGTGATGCTGATATATTACAAATATTTCACCGGAGGCCTGCTTTGCGTAAAGTTGGTCTTGCCAACCTTCAATCCAAACTCAACTTACTTAGTGCGTTGGGCCTCAATTCTTCCGACCTTGTCAAGGTCATTAATTGTCGCCCCCGCTTGTTCAGTTGTCGCATCAATCGCTGCTTTGATGAGCGCCTAGAATTTCTACTAAAATTGTTTGGGTCAAGGGAGGTAGTTGTGAAAGCAATTACACGAAACCCTTCCCTCCTCACCTATGACTTCCATAATAAAATGAAACCCGTCATTGCCACATACGATGAATTGGGTGTTAGTAGAAAGGATTTAATACCAATGCTTATATCTCGTCCCACCTTAATTCCCCGATCCTCTCTCAATGATGGGAAGTTGGATTACATTCGCAAGACTGGTATCTCCAAGGATTCCAAAATGTACAAATATGTTGTCACCCTGATTGCTGTCTCACGTATTGAGACGATCCGTGAAAAGCTGGCAAACTTTGAGAAGTTTGGGTTTTCGGAAGATGAGGTTTTTGGCCTTTTTGGACGCTCTCCTCTCATATTAACGCTATCTATTGACAAGGTTCAGCGGAATATGACTTTCATATTAGGCACAATGAAACTACCAGCCAGCGTGGTCCTTGGTCACCCATTTCTGCTGTTCTGCAATTTGGAAGCTGTGTTAAAGCCACGGGTTCTTCTGGCAGGAAAGATACAGGATATGGACCTAATTCCACAAATTAAAGGACCTGCAATGTTGAGGGCATTGAGAATGAAAGAGAAGCGGTTTGTTAAGGCATTTGTTAATTGTCACCCAAAGGATGTTGCTTACGAACTGATGAAGTTCTACTCAAACGCAAAAGATGTCAAACGATTAGCAGAAGCCTCAAAGACTAATGTCCATAAAGGATTCCCATTCTGAACATTTTTGGATACCAGGTTTGGCTGTACAAAACTATTTCTTTCAATTTTCAGGAAATAGGATACTTTTTAATAACAGCTTAGTCTCTTTTGTTTTAAGCTGGATATTTTTTTCGTTATCCATTCCATCATGCTGGAAATAGTATTAACTGTTGTAGTGCATAATGCATTTTACGGATTAAGATTTGTTTCTTCATGAGCATCCTTGTGCCATTTTCTTTGTGAACTTCACGCATATGCAACAAAGTGCCATAAGAAAGCGTACTTATGTATGCACTGGAGTCAACTCCTGCCAATTAGCAGTGGCATTGTTGCTTTTGCTTCTTTGCGAGGACTTAGTCCTCCAGCTTGGATTTCACCTTAGCACAAAGAGGTTAAAAAGTTTATTTATCATCTGAATTATCCATTTAGAAAGAACCATTGAATCTACACATAAACAAACTAAGAAGATCATACCTCATTTGCACGGGCTTCATATATCAGATCTGTCGAATCATCCATGCCAATGGCAATTATGTTATTATTATGAGGATAGAAGGCAAAATACATTGGCACAGGCGGTGGACGTGTGAAAGTCGCCATTGTCTATGTCATTTCAACATTTAGGATAGGTCAGTTTACTCCAAATGAAATTAAGATTTTTTTAAATGCAACGGAAAAATACACCTCGATGTGTTTCCCTAGCAATATATGTTGGCAATGTACAAAAACCTTTTAAAGCAGTAAGAGGTGTTTACAAGAAGTGTGAGAATGTCTTTCAATAAGGCCCAGGCAGAAAACTAGAGTACTTAAAACCATACCTAAGCACTTGAAAGTTGTACAATACCTTACATGTTATGTTGAACAAGGAAACTTGACCTCCAGATGTTGAAATTAGGTAAGCATCATTTCTGGACAAAGCAAAACAAGGTTTGGTCTCTTCAGTTCTAACATTAGTTAAGTCATTTGTCATTAATATCCCCGATATCGGATGCCATAATTGAGGGGGATTTTTCATTGTTGCCTGCATCAAGACTGACCTCAATTCTCAACATAACAATCATGAACTAATCTTTGAATACAAAGAGAAGCGTGCATGCATGCATACAGATTAACGATAGATTATTTTTATTTTTATTTATTTTTATTTTTTTTTATACCTTGCCTTCATTTGGCCACTTCCAAAGTAGATGGATCGCATTTGATGCTAATGCTAAAATGGCATTACTTGAACTAGTGTATGTTAACTTCAAGATCTAAATTAGTCAGCAGAGAAACACATGAGAAGAAATAGTCTTTATTTGGCAAGAGCTAAGAAGCACGGACATGACACGGACACACCATCTTCTTAGAAGTGTTTGTGTGTCCAATATTCCAATATAGAATGTTGTTGAAACAAATGTGCATCTAAGGTGACCAAACTGTAACATTTATAGCATCATTTTGAATACAAAATGGAAGAACAATGATTGACCATATCTACAATACAATAATTAGTGAATCACACCTTAGCCATTTTGACAAAACCAGGAAGCAACAAGGACTAAAGTTGAGCAGGCTCACTAATTTCTTCGAGCTTCGACCTCTTTGTTGGTTTGACGACTTCAATTGTTTTAGGAACATCCTCCGAGCTCCTTTGGTCCCCATTCTAGTAAGTCCAAGTTTTATGTTTACTTCAGAAGTGATATCAAATATACATATAAAGACATGGAATACATGTGAAATTAATGAAATAGGACAGATTGTGAGAACAAAGAACACAATTAATATGGAAATATACCAAATGGGGAAACATTACACGCACAATATAAATATATATTTATATATCTACATCTTCAATTTTGACAATAAATTTTGTTTAGAGCCCCATGAAATGATTTAATGAACTGACCTTAGCTGCAATAATGGATACAATCATTTCATAAGCTCGTAATGACTGAATTCCGTTGAGGGCTTCTAAGATTTTAATTATGTTGTTCCTCACAGATGCAGCCAGTAGCGTGCCCTCCCCGTTGAAGCGGATGCACAGAGTTTCCTTATGATTTGAGAAATTTAAAAAAAATAATAATAAAAAAAATAAAAAAATGTGAATTGGACTACAATTTTTACACAAAGAATATGTAATATGATATAGAAACACAAATGCCCATTTGTAAAGAATAGATTTAATTTTGAGCACAATTACGAAAACACTTGTAGGTAAATCTCCCCAACATCAAAAGTTGCCATGAGATTCTCGCTATCCGTTTCCCAAAATTTGGTAAAATAGTCTCACCGGCAACCAAGAAGCTGTCTTTGGTTGTATCGAACTGCTCAATATCCAAAGAATGTTTTTGCAATCCTTTGTAGCTTATCTGCTCAGTACCTTTACTTTTTATCCATTCAACAAGATGGGTCTCCCCATTTTGGTTTGTACCACATGAAAAAAGCCTACAATGTGTTCAATGACAATGTCAGTGCTTCAATTTGTCCTCTATATATGAATAGATACAAAATCATGTGGTAAAGGAGGTTCAAAAGATCTACCTTTTACCATCGGTACTATAAAGTATTGTTGTGCACCCTTAACCTGGTGCATCATAATGAACCAATGGTCCGGATATATCATATAACCATGCTTTTATCTTTCCATCGGTGGAGGTTAAAGAAATAATTTAAATAAACTAGGAAATAGGAATCCCAAACATAATATTCAACATATTGAAAACAAATAACAGAAGCCATGGAAGCAAGAAGTACACATGGAACAATCATAAAAGAGAGATTTGAATTTGTGATTCCAATACTCATCTTTATTCGACCAGTAGTCACCATTGGTGTGCTTAAAGAGAGAATAAAAGACTTAAGTGGAACCAGTACCCAACAAGTAAGATTCTGAAGATAGGAATACGTCTTCGTTTTGAACAATCCATGTCAGTGTTGACTATATATATATTTAAATACAATATTGATTGGATGTCTATCCATTTTGGCTGCATAGGTAGGTAATGCTAATTTAATTGCCAATTCAAAGAAAAAGAGTTCATAGGTCTGCAGATTAATGGCCCTGAATCCCTGGTACGGGATCTAATTGTTATCTTTAATATGAATTATTGGTCTAGATTTTTATTTTTTCAACTTTCAATAGAGTTGCGCATCTCTCATACTTAGCAAATTAAGTTTTGTTTTTCTGGGGGTTATCTCTTCATATTTCTTCTCTCAAATCCTGTAAATGATGGCCTTTGGGGATGAAGAAACAATACATATATATGATCAAATATGTGAATTGTGGTTGAATAATGGCAAATATAAACTTTGAATAGTCTATGACTTGATTTATTGATGAAAATGAAGAAGTCACTTGCCAGATCAAGTTGCATTTGATTAATATTTGCAAATTGGTCCAATACTTTTTGGCATGGTGATGGATTAGGCATATGCTCAATAAGAGTGCTTCAGAAAATGTAGCAACTTGTACCATTTAGTTTTGAAGTTAACATAAATGAAATTCATTGTCGTTTTTTTTCTGGATAATAGTGCTGTTGTTTGGTTTGAAGATGCTTTTGTGTGCCTTAAGCGGGGCCCAGTACCATATTAGTTGTTAATGGAAGATAAGATTGTGTAAATCAATAAATGGTTGCACTTCACATTGGGCTATGCTTGGATGCCTTTGTAAACATTCCAGCTATATTGCATGAGCAATATAATAAAGAAGATCATAGACAAGTTAAGACATCCATCTAGATCCTAGTCGATGAGATTAACATTGCCAAAGCAAGGTGAAAGATCCTCAGAGAATGTTTCTGTTGTCTTCCATAGCGACATATTTTTCTGGACTGGACTTCATTCTTTCGGATGGGCAATTCTCTGAGAATGCTACAATTCTCTTTTTGCTCTGTTTCTGATGCACTGATACACGCCACTCAGTTTGATTAATATCTCTTGCATTGTCAATGCTGTGCAGGGAATGATTCAACATCATTATTGTAGTCTCTGCCACCTACCAGAGTTATTCTTGTACCTTTTATTATTGTAGTTTTATAATTAGGTTTTATGTTTCCAAGTAGAATTTCTTATTCAGACCTTACTTAAACAGGTGCTGCTGATGGTTAGGCTGAAGTTGCTCAACCCTGTTGACAATGAAATCTGATAGATTTGTGATTAGAAAGGGTAAAAAGGTTACCAAGCTGACTTGAGGGGATCCAAAACAAAGGGGACAGGCTAAAAGAGAGAGATTCGAAAGGGACATAAAATGAAGTATGCGGAGAATGAACACTTGGAGCAAGGAGCTTCCCAGAAGGTGTCCCGGATGGTCTTAGCCTCCGGCTATTGTTTCACAGCTACATTCTTGAGGCAGGAAAACTGTAGTTGGTTGTGATTGAAGGAAACCGTGTGAAGATAGTTCTGGGATTTGCTGCAATTATCAATTCTTACAACAATTTGAAAATGTATTGAGTAAACCATTTCAAATGCAATTTTGTATGTGTTCATTGTATCAAGATTGGAACAATGCAATTGAGGTCTGTCTGCTTATTCCTCTCTCTCTGAATGCTAGAAGTTCTGTGGGTTCTTGCTGATCAATTACATTGATATTCCTTGATAAACTTATCTATTATATTAAAAAATAAATATTACAAAATTAATCCAGGGCACTTGGTTCATAAATCCAAATTGTAATTTTATAAGGCATGAGGTCCAGGCGCTCAATCAGCTTGTTCAGGACAAGTTCAAGTAAAATGATCAAAATACCCTTCCTATATATATCATATTGTAGGTCCCAAAACCCAATCAATCACACTCCTCTCTCTCTCTCTCTCTCTCTCTCTCTCTCTCTTCTCTTCTCTGCCTCCCTCTATTATAAATCATTTGATGTCTGCTTAGTGGATTCTAACAATCCAACCGTATACGATTGTGCAGGCATCTCTTTGGACAGCCCTGTTGTAACTTCATGTGGCACTGCTGTAACTGCTTGCATTCTTGCCCCGGTGAACCTTTTTCTTGTTTCCCATGTCACATTGCTATTAAATCTTCCTGTTTTGGGTTTTTTTTTTATTATTCTATGAATGTTTTCCCTCCCCCACCAATAAAGACTAAAAGTAAAAAAAATTGCGTGCACACTAGAGACAGGGAAGGGAGTTGGTGGTAATACTGCCAGGGAAAATTTTACACTCTTCTTCTGGTTGAACAATTGCATCTTTTGACACGAAACTGGATTTATTGTGGTTAACACGTTTTATTGTACTTTCTACTAAAATTATGAAGAGAGATGGCGTTTGAGTTTGAACTTGGTTTTTGGCCAAGAGAAGAAGAAACATATTACCCTTGTATGATCGCTGCTCATCTTTTTCAGGGTCTCCATCGACTTGGGAAGACTGATGTTCCAATCTATGATTGTGATATCTCTGTCCCGTAATATGTTAATTAGTCCTTAACATGAATGTGATTATGTGTTTCATATAACCTTGTGTACCATTATGTGAAAATATGTGGTTTTGAATTTCTATCTGTTCACCGTAAGAATATCTATTTGATTGTCTGTTTTGGAAATTAAATTGAAGGCCCTATCGGCCACCGAAATCAAAATTGGTCGCGCCATTGTGATTGGCATAATTTTAGAGCCTACGGTGAAATTTAATTGAAAATTGATTTGGATCAGATTGAATTGATTTAATTAATGACATAGTACTTAAATTATTTAATATTAAATAATTATGGTTAGTGGGACTTGTAAAGAGAGACACTATACACTCAATTCATACGCTTGAGCTCAAAATCATATTTTGTGCCTTAGAAAGAGAGAGGGCCGGCTATAGAGAGAGAAAGGGAGAGAAATTGTGCAATTTTGGCTCAAAGCTTGGAAACCTTGAAGATTTTTCAAGAATTTGCTATAGATTGTGAGAATTAAAGCTCCTAGGTGAGTATTTCATGGATTCTAGTTTGTAATTTTGTGTATTCAAGCTAGTTGGGTAATCAAGAATAAGTTTGACATGAAATTGGGTTGGTCATGTAGGATTGAAGGTCAATGTATGCATGCATGTGTGTGATTGCTTTGAAATTTGCATGTTTGAATACAAAATACATGATCCATGTAGAATGTTGGTTAAAGCTCATGTTTGTAATCACCATTTGCACCATGTAAGTTGAAATGGGAGTGATATCCCACATGCATGTACAATTTATGAGAAATGAGTTTGAAAATACATGAAATTGTTATGTTGAAAGTGAATTGGTGTAGATTGGGACATGCATGTGATTAATTTGTGAAATTGAACTCCATTGTGTTGTAATTTGGTGTTGGTACCATGTTAGTATATGATTATGTGAAGTTTGAGCCAAAAGCATGCATCTAGAACCATTGAATGTCGAATTGGAGCTCAAGAACATGTTCTGGAAAACCCAGAAAATTTGATGTCCGCTCGAGCGGGGAAACCGCCGCTTGAGCGGGGAAACCGCCGCTCGAGCGTGAATTTCGTGCTCCCAGTATTTTTGCAGACTTGGTTGTCCGCTCGAGCAAGGAAGTTCACGCTCGAGCAGGGAGCTATGTAGACAGACCTTTAGCTCGAGCGCCAAAATGCACGCTCGAGCATAATTTTGATGCATCCAGCACTTTTGCAGACCTCATGGGTCCGCTCGAGCGGGGACCCTGTTTTCTAAAATTTTGAAAAGGCATTCTGAGTTTCGTTTTCTGTCCTATTTCACTCCTAAGTACTCTTAGGCATGCATTGAGCATTGTAATTGAGTTAAAGAGATAAGAATGAAGCCTAAAGAAGAAAATGTGAATTTAGAATGGATTGAATTGTTTGTGACCCTTTTGTGTTCATGGAATGTGTAGGGTCAAGCTCCAGGGCAAACAAACCAACTAATCACTGTGAGTAATATCTTAACAAAGATATTTGAAATATGTTGTTGTCCAAATTACTTACTTCTATGTAAGTTTTATAAGTTCGTCGATTCGATTGGTGGACAATGTTGCTATGCCAAATGAATGGGCCAGAGGCCAGTTTGATCTGATTGATAGAGTGAATGGGCCAGAGGCCGTTTTGATAAGAATGAATGGATGGGCCAGAGGCCGTTTTGACATGAATAAATGGCCCAGAGGCCGTTTTGACATAAATGAATGGGCCAGAGGCCGTTTTGACATGAATGAATGGGCCAAAGGCCGTTTTGACACGAATGAATGAATGGGCCAGAGGCCGTTTCGACATAAATAAATGAATGGGCCAAAGGCTAGTTTGATACGAATAAATGAATGGACCAAAGGCCAGTTTGACATGAATGAAAATATGAATTGAGCCCAAGGCCGTTTGAAGCATGTTGTTCTACATATTGTTTGTATAACTCCTTTATTTGATATAATTTACTGGACTTTCGCTCACGCTCATTCATGTGTTTGTAGGTGAGCCAAGAGAAGTCCAAACCCAACCCCAGTAAAGTCTGTGAGGAACAACAAAGGTTTTGAAGAGTCAGCCCTTGCGTCTCACGCACGAGACCCGCCTTCGCCTTTTTGTCATTTTGTTTTATTTTGTCATGGGGCGAAGTCTTTGAATTTGTTGTATATAGTTTTCTTGGGTTGACTTAGACTTATACGATCCTGCATGTACAGAACCTTGTGTAGTACATATTTTCATTTTCAGCTTGTGTTTTACTGCTTCTTTCTTCTTGGCGTTACCATCAATATTTCCTTGTGATTGCAACTGAAATTTTGTATAAATTATAGTCTTGAATTTGATTGAAGAAGAAGAAATTGTTGGTAATATGGCATTGGCAGTGGAGAATGGGTTGGAATTCCAGCAGCAGGAGAAGGAGGAGGAGGAGGAAGCCACCACATCAAGAAGCCTTGCAGTTGAAACAGATCCAGAGGCAGAGGCCACCACTTCCGGCACATCAAGTTCCACCGGCACAAATGGAATTGAGCAGCAGCAGCAGCAGCAGAAGAAGAAGAAGAAGAAGAAGGAAGAGGAAGAGAGCACCATGCATTATTCCAGCAGTTTTGCAGGAGTAATAGCCTCCATTAGTGGCCAGCCTTGATGGCTGGAGACCCCACTGTGTATAAGACGAGACTCATCTCTCTTGGTTTGGTACAGAATATGTTGCCTTCCAATCATATAGTTAATTTGCTTGTTCTTATAAAATCTTTCATGTGTGAGAGAGAGTGCTGCCATTGTCGATTCGCCAATCTAATAGAAGGTGCTTCTAAGTTAGTCGATTTAAGCCACCACCATTTGTACAATTTGAGTTGAAATGGAAGTTATATCTCACATGCATGTACCATTCAAAAGAAGTATGAGCTTGAATGCATGAAATTGTTATGTTGAAAGTGAATTTGGTGTAGATTGGGACATGCATGTGATTAATTTGTGAAATTGAGCTCCATTGTGTTGTAATTTGGTGTTGGTACCATGTTAGTATATGATTATGTGAAGTTTGAGCCAAAAGCATGCATCTAGAACCATTGAATGTCGAATTGGAGCTCAAGAACATGTTCTGGAAAACCCAGAAAATTTGATGTCCGCTCGAGCGGGGAAACCGCCGCTTGAGCGGGGAAACCGCCGCTCGAGCGTGAATTTCGTGCTCCCAGTATTTTTGCAGACTTGGATGTCCGCTCGAGCGGGGAAGTTCACGCTCGAGCGGGGAGCTATGTAGACAGACCTTTAGCTCGAGCGCCAAAATGCACGCTCGAGCATAATTTTGATGCATCCAGCACTTTTGCAGACCTCATGGGTCCGCTCGAGCGGGGAAGTCCACGCTCGAGCGGGGACCCTGTTTTCTAAAATTTTGAAAAGGCATTCTGAGTTTCGTTTTCTGTCCTCTTTCACTCCTAAGTACTCTTAGGCATGCATTGAGCATTGTAATTGAGTTAAAGAGATAATAATAAAGCCTAAAGAAGAAAATGTAAATTTAGAATGGATTGAATTGTTTGTGACCCTTTTGTGTTCATGGAATGTGTAGGGTCAAGCTCCAGGGCAAACCAACCAACTAATCACTGTGAGTAATATCTTAACAAAGATATTTGAAATATGTTGTTGTCCAAATTACTTACTTCTATGTAAGTTTTATAAGTTCGTCGATTCGATTGGTGAACAATGTTGCTATGCCAAATGAATGGGCCAGAGGCCAGTTTGATCTGATTGATAGAGTGAATGGGCCAGAGGCCGTTTTGATAAAAATGAATGGATGGGCCAGAGGCCGTTTTGACATGAATAAATGGCCCAGAGGCCGTTTTGACATAAATGAATGGGCCAGAGGCCGTTTTGACATGAATGAATGGGCCAAAGGCCGTTTTGACACGAATGAATGAATTGGCCAGAGGCCGTTTCGACATAAATAAATGAATGGGCCAAAGGCTAGTTTGATACGAATAAATGAATGGGCCAAAGGCCAGTTTGACATGAATGAAAATATGAATTGAGCCCAAGGCCGTTTGAAGCATGTTGTTCTACATATTGTTTGTATAACTCCTTTATTTGATATTATTCACTGGACTTTCGCTTACGCTCATTCATGTGTTTGTAGGTGAGCCAAGAGAGGTCCAGACCCAGCCCCAGTGAAGTCTGTGTGGAACAACCAAGGTTTTGAAGAGTCATCCCTTGCGCCTCATGC